TTGTTGTTGTTGCTGTGTATGTGATAACCACCAGGTTTTTGACCTCAAAGGGTGGAGGTATACCATTATACATGGAGTTGTACCTGTGATAACATTGCACAGCAGTGTGCCCATTTTGTTACAGACTTGGCAGATAGGTTTTCCTTTAGGATTCCTTAACTTTACCTCGTCCATAAGGAATAAAACCAGGTGACCTATAGGTGGTAAAGGGACTCCATACTGTCCAATGTTGGCGTGAGAATTATACTGTTCACTTATCAAGGCACATTCAGGTGTTGGTAATTGACGGGGTAGGATATTGATATCTAATATGGGGATTGGTGGGGTGGTGAGCAGTAGGATTGGAGGTAATACTGGTGATAAATGAAGGTACCAGTAGGTTGGTTGGAGCATTGATGTTGGTGTTGATGTAAGTAAAACACGACAGCCGATGAAGGATTCCTAGATTGCTAATAGCAGCCATTTAACAGAACTATTAACAGAAAGTTAAGAAACTCACTTGAATAAATCTTTCAATCCTCATCTCATACTTTTGAAGCAAGTATTGAGCTTCTTGTAAAGTCCATGAATCAACTTAGACTCTATTCTTGATGTGAGATTAACAATTACAGCATCAAATTCTGGACCTAGTCCATCTAGTATAAACTGTAATAAATCTCATCAGAAATTACTTGGCCACTAGCTGACAAACTTTCGGCTATCTCTTTCATCTTTTTGACATAATCACTAATGCTCAGATGACTTTCTGAGTAGTTTGAAGTAAGGTTTTCAACTGAAGAGCATAGACTTAGAATCATTAACGAACTCACTTTCTAGGGTTAGCCAAATTGCTGTAGATGATTGACATTTGGAAACTGAGGCAAACATACACTACGATATTGATGCTAATAGCCATGTGACTAAGAACTTAAGTCCTTTTCCAAGAAATTAGGCAGGATTAATTTTTCAATCCATTTTTCTTTTGACCTAAATTCCCTGATTCATGCGATATGTCATTATCGACAGTATAAAGGCTCAGGACAGGATACAAAACCTGTGGAGATCCTCAAGCTCATGAGCTCCCATAGCTGAGAGCACTTGCGATTTCAGAAGCGATAGTTGTGCGATAGTTGTCTCTAGTCAACTTTGGAGTAACGACCTAAAGACTTGTTGGAAAAGCTGAGCTAACTAAGCTTGAAGCGCTGTGAATCATCCTTTCGAAGCTAGTTTCAGAGTGATTAGTGTCTGAGATCTTTGCCATTGACGTAGTCTTTGGCTCTGATACCATGAGAGATTTGTAAATTGAAAGAAAAAGAGAAACAAATGTTGCTTCAATTACTTATTCAATTGAGTAAGAGTGAATGATTACAATGAGGGTTTGCAGCTACCTTTAAGTAACGATAGCAGCGGATGAAGTAAAGAGAAAAAGGGGGAAGTGGAGTGGAGAAGAAAGCTCAGTGTGTTTGTTAAGAGAGACACAAAGACGTGTTTTGTTGTTACTTAGCTAAATATCAACTAAGTCCTCATCTTCTGAATTCTGACACTTTAATCCACATTATTTTCTTGAAAATCTAATATTTAGTTAATGATAATTTATTAATACCATGTATTTGAAATAATACCATGTGTTTATACATTATTAGATTTATTACTAATTGTTATAAAAAAAAAAAAGATTTATTACTAATAAATAATAAATTAAGTAATTAACTATTAAATTTGGTGAGTATGTGAAAAGTATATCACATGATTCAGGAGGTTTCTAAAATTAAATAAGTTATGTCCCATGTAAAGTCATAGTCTTCTGTGCATTGCACAAAATAGTAGCAAGAAAAAAATATTAGTTTATTTTATTTTACTTAATTATTTTTGTATAAATAATAAATAGAGTAATATTCTTTTGTGCAATTGGGCACACGCTAAACTTACCGTATATTTATTAATCATAACCTCTCTAAAATAATGTAAAAAAAAAAAAGTGCACATATCAAGTGTCCATTAATTGTACATCAAATTAATCATATATCAATTAACTAATTCATGTGGCACTTTTCATCAATTTAAGTGTAGATTACGTTCATTTAATTAATTGTCCACGTACAATAAATTAATTATTCAAAGTCCTTATGTTTTTTAGGATTATATCAAAATATGAATAATAAATTATCATAAATCAGGTTAGCCGTCAGACAAGGTTTACATCCAAATAAGAAAGGAACTTAATGTTTCTTGGTGTCAAATCATATCATATTTAATATTTAATTTAACTCCCATATTCTATTAAATGAAAAAATTCGGTAATGAAAAAAAATCTTGGGTAAGCTTAACGTGTAAGCCAAATTGTTATGTGCATGCACAAGATACTATGCATTAAAAAAAAAAAAAAAATTGTGATTTTGCAATAAATATAAAATAAAATAATGTTATTTTATGCGTGAATACTCTAAAACCCATGTCTTAACGGGTAAAGCAAAGCTTACACAAAAATCCTTAAGAAGATGGAAGTATCCAAAACCCCTTGATGTTCAAGTTATGAAAACTCCCTTGAAGGTATTCAAAATAACATTTATCCCCTTTTCTGTAGACGGCTGTTATGAATTTTTGTTGAACTAAACAAGTAAAGGGCAGAAAAGTATTTACACACTTTATAAAAAGAAACTATTCTTAATTAATCCATTCTTTCTTCTTACCGCCGACTCCCACCACATTCAATCATCTTCTTTAATGTCAATGAAAATAGGATCACTCCAACAAAAATGACATATGTTAACATACAAAAGATATTACCAAAGATAAACGGTAGTATTAATGAATATGTTATTACAATCTATGTTACTAAAAAATGAGGTTTTAATAACATTTTTTGCATGTTACTACTAATTATTTTGTTGTGTTTATTGAAAGTTATAAATGATCTTTCAATAAATGTAATAAAATATTATTGTTAAGCATATTATAGCATTTATTCGTAGTTACTAATGATTTTTGGTTGCATTGTATAAATGTTATAAATAAGTTTTTTGTAACATTCTTAACATGTTATAATTTAATTTTTTATAATATTTTTAAAATGAGATAACAAATCTATAACAGTTTTACAATTTTGTAGATTAGTTTTTTCTTAATATTGTTAAAATGCTATAGAAGAGTTATTAATAATATGTTAAAAGTACTACCAAAATTTTAAAAAGTATTGTAGTTAGATAGGTGTTCATTGCATTTTGTAAATACTACAAAATTATTTTCCATAATATTTTGAAAGTGTTACATATATATATATATATATATATTGTTACAGTTGTTACTTTAATAATATAAATTATAGACAGTAATACACTAATTTTTCAAAACAACATTTCATTGATGATAAACCTCCATATACAAAAAGTTTGCATATATGCCTAATAAATAAGCATCCAACATCCTTTATATCCATAAAATCTACTATTTAGATGATTAAAAAATTAACTATGAACAATAGTTAATACCTTTCAATTATTGAAAAAATTCTAACAACAAAAACCACCATGCATACCATTCTTCCATTCCCAATTATGTTTTACCAACAAAGAACTCTTGCATTTTCACAACCTACAAAACCATTAATACAAAAGACATCTTCAATTCCCATATATATTCTCAAAGACAACAACACTTATATTGTAAATTCAAGAAAAGATGAAGACAAAAACACCCCATATATTTAATGCAAAACAAAGAGAAAAAGAACATGTTTAAATCTTTAACTTCACAATCACTAATCCTAAAAAATGGCACCATGCAAGTTTAAAAGATATATCAATGTTACATATTTCCAAATCTTATCTCCAAATTATATCATTATAATCTATGTTACATCGATGTGGTGTGATTACAATAGAGATGGGATCTGATTAGGGCGTGGTGGGGGTGTGCTGTACCAGAGGCTAATGGGTGTGGTCATTGTTGTCAATGAATGCCGATGGGGGGAGGGCATGGTGTGGGTGCAATTTCCGTGGGGTTAGTGTGGTGGGGGCGTAGCTATTGGGTTGTAGTAGCGGTGGAGGTTACAAAATTAAAAAGGAGAAAGAAACAAAATGGTGATTTATTATATCTTTAGAAAAGGCAGATTGAAGAAAAAAAGAATTAAAGAGAAAAGAAATGTTATTATATTATTTTTAAATGAATTAAAAGAGAGAGGGAAAAAAAAAATTATTCTTAGATTTTTCTTTTTCTTTTTAAAAGCAGATTAAAATAAAGAATTGCACTTACAATTTGAAATTACCTTGTTACCCTTTATAATTTAGTTTAAATTTTTTAAATAGGGGCAATTTGGGTTTCCGAATTTCATGCCATGTCTTCAAGGGAAATTTTGGGATTTCAATACTCTGCCATATTTAGGGGCCAAATGTTATAACAGCTAACTACCATCAAAGATATCTTTGTTATTTCTAATATCTCAGATGGATTTTTGCTATTCGCTTTAACTCAGAGGTGGCTAAAGACCCTAAGAAAATTGGTTTCAACTTGACCAATTTCGTTCCTAGAAGTGTTTTGTCAATTTGCTGGCACTTTTCTTCAAAAACTCATTAGAAAGAACACAAAGTTCTAAAGCAAAGAAAAAAAAAGACAAAAATCTATTAATTGTTGTTAAATTTAACTAAAAATGTTAAAAAGACATAAATGCCACTAAAAAAATTTTAAAAATAAATAAATGGAAATGCTGGCATGCTTAAAAATTGTACAATCTATTTGCATGGATGCCTAAGATTTGACCACAATTTGTATTGAACTTGAAGCTATGAAAGAAAATGATAAGAAAATAATATTCTGAATTTAAATAAACAAATAAACGCAGAAGTTCACATGCTTAGGAAAGTTTCAAATGGATCAGCTAGTACACATACTCATTGTTGAAAATGAAATCACTTTGTCGTACACACTTCCATTTATATAAATAGAAGTAAGCTTAGCTTGTAGTAGCAACCATTTTATAAACTTACATTACAATCAATTATCTCATTCCGAGTGAGAAGAAAGAAATGGATCGTGCAATATTTGAAGATCTTGACGTTGTAATTGTTGGTGGAGGCATTTGTGGCCTTGCCACTGCCCTTGCTCTTCACAGGTAATCCTCTTTGTTCATTTTATAAAAATAGACGTTATATGTTATGTGTTGAATCATTGTCTTGACATTTAATGTTGCAGGAAGGGAATGAAGAGTGTGGTGTTGGAGAAATCAGAATCATTAAGAGCAGCAGGGGGGGCCATTGCAATTCAGCCTAATGGATGGAAAGCTTTGGATGTGCTTGGCGTTGGTTCAAAGCTCAGGCCAAGTACCATTCTCCTTCAAAGGTTAATTTCACATTATTAATTAATAACATCAGAAGGCCAGAATTCAATGGTGGTTCTTATCATTCTCGACGTACATATATTGCTCATCATATCGAAGACTTTTTTTTTTTTATTTCATTTTAGGATTGGTGTAGCTATATCTATCGGTCATTCTATTATTCTTATCTCTTATCATAATCAACTTTGATTAAAGTAAATACACAGGATACGAGAAATATTTCTCAATGGCAGCGAGCAACAAGAAGAAATTATCTCCTACTCGTAAGTTTTAATATCATTACCATGCATTTAATTAATGTTTGGTGGTAAATTTTTGACAAGAAAATGAAACTTAATCAACTGAAATTAAAGTTAATTAAGAAACAAAATTAATCATCATATAATTTTAATATTAATTGGCAGGAACATTGGGGAAACTCGTTGGGTAAAAAGAAGTGATCTAATTGAAGCTCTAGCTCAAGATCTCCCACTAGGTACAATACGCTTTGGATGCAAAATTGTCTCTTTGAAATTGGACACAAACACATCTTTTCCCATTCTTCAATTGAATAATGGCACTACAATTAAAGCCAAGGTACGTATTTTATATTCTTCAATACTAATGAACCGCTATAATAATTGCATATTTTGTTCTATGATACTAATATAATTAATATCATATTAGAGAAGTTTATATAACTATTATATAAATGCAATTTTGACTATTAGTTAACATATTTTTATGATATGAATATTTGTATCATATATATATATATAATCACTATGAGGGTCTAATAATACAAAATTTTGTCTTTAACACTAACCATTACCAGTAAACGAAGTACCAGATTGTTAAAAAAAAAATTGCCCTCCCCTATTATGAATTATAATTAAATATTTATCAAATTGTTCTCGGATCGTCTATTTTAATACCTAAAACTTAACAGTAAGGAGATTTTTATTATTTTAAAAACCTTAAGCTAATTGATGTCAGTTAATCAAACCTCAAGGATAATTTTTTAACTCTTTAATATACATAAAAGTTAATTAATGGTTAATGAATTTTACTTGTATAATTAGGAGTTATGTGATTGCAGGTGTTGATTGGCTGTGATGGAGCCAACTCGGTGGTTGCTGATTTTCTTGAGTTGAAACCCAAGAAGCTTCACTCTTCATGTGGAGTGCGAGGATTTACATATTTTCCTAATGGTCATGGATTTGCCCCCGAGTTTGTCCAAACTATAAGAGATAACAGTATGCTTGGATTAGCTCCGGTCACTGATAATCTGGCTTTTTGGTTCGTAAATCACCAATGGCATCCTCAGGGTATGCATTTATATGACTTTAATTAAGCTTTTAAATATCAGTTTATTTAATGATCGTGATTCTCTCATTATATTTGCAAATATTAATATTGTAATTAGTGGTTAATAGAATAAGATCATTCAGGAAGAACGTTTCAGAATAGGGGGGATTATTCTTATTTTCTATAAAGTAATATTAAATCTAACTAGTGATTAATTGATCAGGATTTTGTCTTTTAGTGTAATAATCACATCAAGAATGCAAAATTTCTCGCATCAAACTTCCAAAAAATAGTGTTTTTATGCATCCTTATGTCATGAGTGTTGATTAGATAATTGTTTTCTTCATTTCTTCTTACTAGCCGATGTATAACTGTGTACCATTCAATAGAAAATTCCACAAATTTTTGTTGTAAGGGGTTTCTTTTCTCTCCATTTTCATTATTGGCTTTCAACTAGAAATTAAAGACCAGGTAAAATGGAATTCTGACAAATTGTTTTTTAATACTTATAATTCATGATGGAAATTATCATATTTCCCCAATTCAAATATTATAAATCTCCTTTTCATAGTTTAAACCACTCAAAAGATAGAAGAACCATAAACATAAATATTTAAGTATCTACAATACAAGTCATAAGGCATACTTAAAAGATAGGTAAGGAAAAACGTTTTAGATCATGACTAATTGATGATTGGTGGATCTAGATTCTCTTCTAATTCAAGTTTCAGGGAATTTTTTCATTTATTTAATCAGCTTATCTCAATATTCTTAATCATTTCAATTTGTTATGTTTACTACAGATTTAAAGGCGTTCAAAGATCCAAAGATAATCAAACAAATGACTCTAGAAACCATGAAGGGTTTCCCTAAGAAAATGATAGATGTGGTACAAAACTGTGACCTTTCTACCCTAACATTTAGCCATTTGCATTACCGTGCCCCATGGGACATATTACTAGGCCAATTTCGAAAAGGAACCGTGACAGTGGCTGGAGATTCGATGCATGTAATGACACCATCCATCGGCCAGGGTGGCTCAACGGGTATAGAAGATGCAGTTGTACTTGCTAGATGCATGGCAAGAAAATTTCATGCCAATAATGATCATAAAATATTCAAAGGTCAGAAGATAATTGAAGAAGCAATGGATGAATATGTGAATTCGAGAAGAATGAGATTGGTTCAATTGTCTACACAATCTTTACTTGTTGGTTCATTGTTGGATTCTTCTTCATTGCTTGTGAAGTTGATAATTTTGGTGCTTTTGGGCGCTTTGTTTAGGGACAAATTTGCTCATGCTCGATATAACTGTGGTTGTCTTTGAGAACTTGTTGCTTCAAAAGCCGGCTCTAGCATAACTTCAATGGTTGCATTTTGTATTCATAGGTTAATTTTATTTCCATTTTAATTTGAAAGTAGTTATCATATGTAATAAATCGTATGTGTTGGTTACAACACTGTGAAGATACTGGCGTCAGCGTTATCGTCGTCAGACAATAATGATTTTCTTGTGGTGTGGTGAACCAATAAATTTTTAGTTGGGTTTTTTCGATTTGATGAGTTGTTGTTGATTATAAATTCTGGCTTGATTGTTAAAATTAATTGTTGATATTGCTGTCATGGGTTTGATTATCTGTGCGTAATTTATTGAAATTACAAATACTTAGTTCATAATAAGGTTGATATGATGCATTTGATAGCACGCATACATTAGACTGGACTAGTTATTTTTTATAAGATTGAAGTGGATTGGAAAAAAATTGAATAGAATTAAATTTAATACTGTAACGTGTTTGGAGTAACACGGAACTAAATGTATGATAAATTATTAAAAAATAAATAAATCATCGAAATATATAAAAATAAATAAAAAAATAATAGTAAAACTTTATGAAATTAAAAGAAAAAGATCTGGGAACTAGAATATTTATCCACATTTCTTGAACTGATTTTTTTTACGTGTGTGTATTTATCTGAATTATTTAACATCATTCGCTACTACCAATTATTTATTTATTATTTTTACATATTGCTTCGTTGTACCTAACCAAATGCGCCTCGGTGCATGTGATACCAAAGTATGAAATCATCTTCGAGAAATCGGAATCAGCTAATAATAGTAATAAGATCTGTATTTAAAAAAATATAAGATACCAAGCACGCGGAGATTTAGGATCTGACATAAAGATGAGCAAAGGTAGCCCATTACCCATATAAAATTACCAACTTTGATTCTGTGAATTGACAAACCTAACTTTGGTTGAATTAACTTTGATACTTTTAACTACCTTTCTCATATATACAAATTAATATTAAATAGCAAAATGTGAAGGTGTTATTTAAGGACAAATATAACCACTAAAGTCTAGTGATTTATCAATTATTACTTTAATAAAACAACAAATGAAATGTTTGCTAACATATAATAATTTTAGATTATACAAGACTTGATAATCTAGTATGTAGCAGTATGGTTTAACAATTCAATTAAAACATGCTAACATGTGTTAAACTTGATAATCTAACATATTCTGATTATTTTTACCTTTGTTATTTTTTAATAAGGATAATTTGGTTATGTAATGTAATTTTATGACTAAATTCATCTTTTAAACAAAATCTTGACATATTAAGAATTAAAATAAGTGAAAAATGACTGTACAAGGCAGTTTCTCATAAAAATAGGAGTGAAGAACTATACCACTTAAAGGACAACCTCAATGTCCTTCAAATCCTCTTTATTAACTGCCATATCCCCAAGTCAGCAGCTATCTTCTTCTTCTCTTTCATTCAAATTTTTTGAAATTAGAAAATTTTCATAGACACCCTCAAAGGTTTTTGTGATTCTGATTTCAGTAATAATAGATTCTTCATAGCAATGCTTTCAGTTTCTCAAACTGTTCTCAGCCAAGTTAGCATTTCCTGAAGAACTTAAGAAAGGATGAGTAATTGTGTCTACTTGTGGATTAAACTTATCATGCCACTTTACTTACTATTTTTATTTATTATTCACACGAGTCTAAGATTTTGAGTCCATTTTGGGTTTGCCTCTTCAATCTCAAAGTTGCCCCATTAAAGTTTGGAATCATCTGGTTACCAAACCAAATTGTCATCCCTAAATAAAAGTTTGCAGTGATATGTTCAAAAATATATTGTGTCATGCCAAATGATGTTCTATTCCTATGGTTCTAAGTTCAAAACTTTCCTATGTTTCTCTCTATAGGAGCACCATTGGTGTCTGTCATGAAGAGAGTTTATTTTGGCTCATAAAGAAACTGGATTTAACTCTTTTTCTTCACGAAGAGAGCTTATATAGGATATGGGAAAAAAAAGAGGAGAGAAAAGTCTTGAATTGAAACTTCAAGCTCTTCAGTAATGAATTCATCCTAGCTTTTTCTTGACTGTTTTCTTTAAAAAATTTCACAGCTTCAGTATAACACCGCTCTAGGGCTAATATATCAGGCTCTTAATCATAGTATAATTAAAAGAATCCTTCAAGAGATTAGGCAATCTGCACATCTAATGGTATAATAAAATGTAATCACCCTGCAAAAAAATATGAGTTTTAGCTATAGAACTTGAGAATGAATAGAATTGAACTTCAAGCTACAATAATAAAATTGCCAGTACTTTTGATGAGCTATCGGATAAAGAGAGTTGGTAAGCTGTGGGCAAAATTTGACATTGATAAACTAATGAGAAAACTTGTCTTATATGTTTTTACATAACTGCTCAGATGGTTAAGAACTGCCAAGCTCACTGCTTGGATTCTGACAACTCCAAATAACTGAAATAATATCTTTTATAGAAAATTTTCTTTTGTTTTTCTTTTTCTGCTTAGCTTATTGACAAAATATATTACCCTAAACCTCTAAATGGAAATGTTATTCTTTTGGAATCCAATGAACAAGTAAAAATCCACAAAACAAATAAATTAATTAAGAAGAAGAAGAAAGAACCTATTAGCAGACACCCAACCATGTGGCCACCTACATTCAGCAAGAACCTATCCCCTGATAAAGTGAGTTTGGGTAAAACTCAAAATCAAAAGCTAGTTCAAAGGAGAAGGGAGCTCAATCACTTATATACACCATAACACCCCATTATTGGGACAATGTGGGACAAATTTAACTTCTAACACCCTTTCTCACACTTAGCGTGCAAAGCCGGAGTCCAAACCCAATTGTCGCCCCAACCAAGGGAGGAGAAAGTTCAACTACTTATATACACCATAACAGTCCACTATTGGGGCGATGTGTGACAAATTCAACTTCTAACACTCTCCCTCAAGCTTAGCGTACAAGGCCGGGGTCCAAACTCATCATCGTCCCAACCAAAAAGGGAGTCCAAACCCATTATCGCCCCAACCAAAGAGGGGTCCAAACCCATCATCACCCCAACCAAAGAGTGGTCCAAACCCATCATTGCCCCAACCAAAGAGGGTGTCCAAATCCATCAACGCCCCAACCAAAGAGGGTTCCAAACCCATCATCACCCCAACTAAAGAGGGGGTCCAAACCTATCATCGCAGGATAGAGAAACAAACGTGGCTCTGACTCTGACTCTGATACCACAATAAGGTCGGTTTGGATAGAATTCGCTCTCAAAAGCTAGCTCAAGGGAGAAGGGAGTCCAATCACTTATATACACTATAACAGCCCACTCTTGGAGCAATGTGGGACAAATTCAGCTTTTAAAATCCCCAATTTCCATTGAGTAGGCTGAAATCATTGGCAATAAACACCAAATTTGATATATTAGTCTGCATACTCATATTGAGTTAGTAAGATAATAAATGGGTGTATAATAGTATATAATATAGCATAGGGAGAAAGATATTTTCCTGCCCAAGGTTTGGCGAAACGACACTTTCCCATTTGTCAAGTTTCGAAATGACACTTTAACACCCCCTATTTTGTTCTGTGAAGAAAATATGTTCTAAAGAAGGACAAGATGGTCAATTTACATGAAACCGAAAAATCAAAATTGAAAAATTGAAATTTGGTCCGTGCAGCTTTTCCCTCTCTCTTTTATTTTCCTTTCCTTCTCTTTCTTTTTTTTTTTTCCTTTTTTTTTTTTTTTTAATCTTTTCTTTGCCATCTTCTCTTCCTTCTATGCCAGAGGCTGAAGCATCCTGCAACCACCAACTAGGCTGGCGGCGTCGCAACCTTCAGCCACGAGTTTGGCTGGTGGGCTGGTTGCGACGACACCAACCCAGGTCGCAACTGGATGTAGCTTCATAGCCAGCCAAATCGCAGCTGGAGGCAATGTCACAAACACCTAGCTCGGCCATGACACTGACGCCAACACAACAACCACCTTTCTTTTCTCGCACACATTTTTTTTTTCTTTTGGATCTTATGGTTTGCGGGTTTGTGATTTTTGGATTTAGTTTTTGTGGATTTTCAATGGCTGGAGGATTTGAGGATTCTTTTCTTGAAACATGTTTTTTGCGTTTGTTGGATGTTGGATTTTGTGTTATGTGGGTTTGTGGTAAGAGTTTGTATATGAATTTTAGTTGTTAATTTTCAGTAGACGCAAGGCCAGGCAAGTTCGTATCTTGGCCTTAGTCGCGCGGCTTCGCCGGCGTAAGGCTAGGCAGAATCCTGTCCTGAGCCACCCGACTTCTCTCTTCTACAACACTTCTTCTTCATTCCATAGTCCATCCCTGAGACTCCAATGACCAATCTTTGAATTGTGACAAGTCTTTATATTTTGTATGAAATTTGAAGGACTCAAAATAAAGCAATGCATCAAATCCATGGCTTGGCCAGCATTATTTTTCTCCTTCTCTACACCTCATGTGGGTGTTGCCGAGACAAGAACAGTTTAGTTTTTCTTTTTCATAGGTTTCAGTAATGGGTTTTTTTTTCTTCTTCTTCTTCTTCTCTTGTGCTTATTATGACTATGATTGTTTAGTTGAGACGTAAGATGAATTTGATTATGGAGTTGAGATGGAGGATAAATTTTGAATGTGGTGTTAAGATGGGAGATGAATTTTGATTGTGTTTGAATTAATGGGAGGTGATTTTTTCTGGCGAATCTGGATGAATTTGGGTTAGAGTTTGAATTAATTGGACTTGATAGTTTCTACAAATCTCGGTTGAATGAAAGATTGAGTAGTCATTCTTTCAAAGAGTTCATGTGCATTCCCTTAAGCATATGTAAAAGAGCTAGAGATGGGTGTTTGCCCCGGCCCCGCGAGGATCCATCCCGACCCGGCCCGAATGGGCCGGGGAATCCCCGAAAAAACAGGCTTAGGGCCGGGGATGGTCCTTAGTTATGTCCCCGCATCCGGGGACGGGCCGGGGAAGGGGATTGCAC